TAGTGGGCTGTCTGTTTTTAGTAAAGTCTCTTTTGCTGTACAGAAGCTCTTTAACTTGATGTAGTCCCATCTATTTATCTTTGCCTTCACTATTGTGGCATTGGGTGCTCTATCTTTAAAGATATCGTTGAAGTGTATGTCGTGTAGTGTTTGGAAAAACTATTCTTAACTTGCAAGCTGTGGAACAGGTGGCAGGCAGGCTATGTGTAGTTGTCAGCTAACGAATCTGCCAACCCCAGAGCTCGATTCCCTTCACTTTTGCTCAGGACTCGGCATTAGGTGGTTTTTATACCCCCCGAGGGTCTAGATTAGGAGAGTTAATTTGAATTCCAACCATGACTTTCTGCCGCCGGGCCCATAGCCCTGAATGCTGCTCTGCATTGCTGGTTTAGCAATGATTTCGGATGTAGTCTCTGTGTCCATGTGCTGCAGAAAATAGATGTGTGGTCAGCGCTCATTCCAAGCGTTGACCATGTAAGGACTGTCCCCGCGTCAGTGGCCGCTGGCAACCTAATTCTGTCAAGCCTGACCCTAGGCTTATGCACCCTCTTCCTTTAGCCCTCTCTCGGGTTGCGCGGGCCCAGGAGGCCCATCTGTCCTTACTATATTTGAGTTCCTGTTGTCTCATTGGTGGCTTTGAGCAGCTGCGAAGTATGTTTCTAACTTTAAGTGGAAGTTGGGGTCACCAGCATCGGGCCTGGAGCAGTCGCTCTGAACAAGGGCCCTTTCAGCTCTGACCTCCTGAGCTTTCGGGACTCGGTGAGTGTTCTGCTAACTCCTCCCCTGTCCCACAGCTGGACGTGCACGGAGGGCAGTAATGAATGAGACAATTGCTCAAGGGCCAGGGAATAATGTGCACTGCTTTTTGTGTGTGTGTGTGTTGTTGCTGTTGTCTTCGGAAGCCGCCTGGTTGCCTAGCACCGCAGTCGTCGGCCTGATCGTCCTTCCTCCTGGCTCTCCTGCTCCAGTGTCCTCAACCCCGCGGCGCGGCACCCGAGGCCGGACCGGACACCAGAGGCGCGTGCTCGCGCTTAGGGTGCGGCGGCCGCCCCGCCCGTCCAGGGATCATGCTGCGAGGCAAGTCCCGGCTCAACGTGGAGTGGCTGGGCTACTCGCCCGGCCTGCTCCTCCAGCGCCCGGAACTGCCGCTCCCCCGCTCGCCGCGGAGGCCCCGCGGGTAAGTCACGTGAGCGCCGCCGCGCCTGCTATTTGCGT